TACAATAATAATAATAAATATAGCTGCGAGCAAGCGATTGCGGGCCCAAGCCGGTGGCAACCGCAACCCCTGATGCCTTAGTTACCCAAAGGCACCGGGATGGTGGTACCGCCGCTTTGGCCCTTTATCGCTGCTCACAGCTATATTTATATTTAATATAAAGCCGGTGGCACCGCCACCTTGGTGCCTTTAGGGTTATTCTGTACGACGTGTAAAAACGTAACCCCCGCTTTGACTATCAAAAAGAAGTGTATTGTAGAGCTTGCATCAATGCGGACTCGATGCGCTGTGCGCCTGTAACTCCATGTGGCTTTAAGCGCATCATTCTCCACTCGGGATGCGCATAAGCGTTTTGTGCCACACTGTACTGAGCCTTTCATATCATAATGCAGTGACGCAATGACAGATTATTAATTGCCTTTCTTGTTCTGTTCCATCTATTATATGTTGATAATAGATAGGACAGAGCACTAAAAACCTCAAACAAAGCACTAAAAACTTAAGCTGTTTGCTGTGTAGTCTGAGAATGAGCTGTTTGATTTGCACCCTCTTCCTCTTCACTGTCCTCCATAAAACCAGCTATCCAGGTCCATGTTGTTCTAGAAAGTTTGTATGTTGCTGCCTCAATTAACATCTCTGCTATACATTTAAAACATGGCTATATCTAAAAAATTTATCTTTTTGATTTTTGTCATCTTGTTTTTCATGATATTTTACAACAATACAAAGAGCAAATGTGTATTTTCCATTAATATAGTTTGTAATGGCTTTTTTGTCATAGATTATAATCATATTTTTTTGGATTTGTTATTTATCTTTATAATGAAGTTGTCTGTATTAAGTAGATTGTGTTTAACACAACACAAGAGTGATTTATTAGTTCAACACATAGTTATAGGAAATTCTACTTTATCTAAAAAAAACCCTGCACTTTATACACACACACACACACACACATAAATACATGTAAATAAAAATACCAAAAAAAAAAAACATCAATGTGTTTTTAGTCAGAGTATTATTTTATACAGAAACAAATATTTTGTAATTCAGATAAGAATGAAGTTAGTGTTTTAAAATCTTAAGGAAAACAAATATATTGAAATATAGCACATGAATTTTTAAATTCATTCAACTTCAATTACAAATACAATCTTACTTTTATTTAAAGCAAACTATACATTTAAAAGATGGGGGTTATATGCCTATTTTGTCATTTAAAAATATTGTTATGCAAATTGTTATGCAAAAAGACAAGGACTTAGAGACAAGGACTTGTAGGAAAAATCACAGCCAGCCACACACACACACATAAACACAGACAACAGCCCTCCCCTCCCCACACAGACACACACACACAGAGAGAGAGAGAGAGAGAATCGCAGGGGAAATAAATCCATTGAAACTACAATATCTGACTTTCTGTTGCTCAGAGCGAATGACTTTAAATTGGAAAGTTGATCGGCTTGACGAGAACAATATACGTGGTAAGTTTTGTAACTGTAGGTAAATTGAGCAAAGTTATAACACACTTTATGTGTCCTTTTTTAGTCATAAAATTCATTTCCTCGCCACGGCCAGACCGTTCGAGATATCAAAAATCCGTCCGGAATTGAGCATCCTCAATGTCTTGACTTCATGCACACCGAGTTTGGTTGTGATTGGTAAACACATGCATTGTGATTTGATGTATTTCTCCTAGGACAATTATTCAAACAACCCATAATTCATAATTCATAAATAACTTCCATTTGAACTGTCATAAAACTTAGAGCACGAAAGTTGTTTGGCCTGATGTGATCTATAATTGTACCGAGTTTCATATTAATTCATGCAAGTGTGTTTGATTTATGGTCAAATGTTCGAATCCCAGTCCAGGGGGCGCTGTCGAGCCGCCCTGCCACGCCCGGTTACCAGCTTCAGCCCGGCCCTGATGGCCATGGGTTCTGACCCGTGTGCAAAGTTTCAAGAGTTTTCGAGGATGTTAAGCCCCCAAAAATGCCAGAGAAGTCGCACACAGCAAATAAAGGGTTAAAATTAACCTGACAGGCGCCCCTCCTCTCACTCACACAGAGGGACACTGAGACACTGGCAAAATTCTGAGATTTTTCTCTACATTCAAACAAACATATCTGACTTTCTGTGGTCCTAGCTAATGAGTGTCAATTAGAAAGTTGTCCGGCTCGAGGAGTACAATATACATACCGATTTTGTAACTGTAGATAAAACTAACAATCCCACTTTTGTCAAAAGGTGGCGCTACTGAGCCCTCACCACGCCTGTTTCTGCAACTTTGCACATGTCTACTGGCTAATAAATGTGATGTGTCTGTCGAGTTTCATGCAATTTAAAGCATGCTAAGGGTCTCAAAAGCATCCTAAAAGAATGGTAAAGTTTGATGCGTCGCCACGGCAACGGTTTTCAAAGATATCAAGAATCCATTCACAGGTCTACATCTGCCCTATTTACATTATACAGATGAAGTTTGAAGCAAATCGGGTAAAAATAAAAGGGTGATTTCAAAGCATTTTGAAAGTGACACACTTCCTGCTGCCAGTTGGTGGCGCTATAACTTTGACTCACAATAGTCACATCCATGTGATCGTCCTCTTACAGCGAACACACTGCTGAAGTTTCATCAAGATCAGTTAATGTATGCTGAAGTTATAACACACTTCCTGTTTCACGTTTCTCGCCATGATTTCATTTCCTCGCCACGGACAAACCGTTCGAGATATCAAAAATCCCCTCGCAAACTTTCATCCTCAATGTCTTGACTTCACACTGACCGAGTTTCGTCGAATTTGGATCAAAGCTCTAGGAGGAGTATTTCAAATACCATTGCGAGCGTTTTACAAACAAACCTCAATAGCCGACTTCCTGTTGGGCTGGGGTAAAAAGTAAGAGCGCGAGGTATAGATGAAACGATGAGATCAACATGTGTACCGAGTTTCATATTATTACATGCAAGCGTGTTTGAGTTATGGACCGAGTGTTCGGACCCCGTTCCAGGGGGCGCTGACGAGCCCCCCTGCCACGCCCAGGTACCAGCTTCAGCCCGGCTCTGATGGCCGCGGGTTCTGACCCGTGTGCAAAGTTTCAAGAGTTTTTGAGCATGTTAAGGGCTCCAAAAGTGCCAAAAAGGTAGTAAAATAATAATACTAAAGAAAAATAATCCTTAGGAAAACAATAGGGCCTTCGCCCTTTCAGGGCTTGGGCCCTAATTAACAAGCAGTTCTTCAGAGCCCCAAGGTGGAATTGATTGCTGCTTAATATTAAAGGTCACTTTGAAATTAATTTTTGATATGTTTTATCTTACCTCAAGGGCATCCAAGATGTAGGCGTCTTTGTTTCCACAGTATTTTCAATTTTGACATTTTTAGGTCAAACCATTCTTGTCTGTCAGTCATATAATGGAGGTCTATGGTCACCACCTCAAAGAGCATGCAAAGAAGTCCAGATTAAACATGATTTAATGACTCATAAATGTAAACACATTGATGGCCTAAGACACGAAACGAACGGTTTGTGTGAGAAAACCAACAGTATTTAGGCCTATATCGTTTTTACCTCTTGTAACCACAGCCAAGTCCAAGTGATCTGAAGGCATAATCGGTCTGCGCAAGCGCCGGAAGTGATTCATTGTTTACACAGAGATTTCGGAAGTTTTAACTGTCACTGGGATCTAAAAATATTTAGATATATAGGAAATCGCAATAAAACTTCCGAATCTCTGTGTAAAAAATGAATGACGTACACACGCAAGAGATCACTCCCGGCGCATGCGCAGACCGAAGCGCCCGTGCCTTCAGATCAGTTGGACGTGGCTGTGGTTACAAGAGGTAAAAACGAAATAAATACTGTTAGTTTTCTCACACAAACTGCTCGTTTCGTGTCTTAGGCCATCAATGTGTACTTACATTTACGAGTCACTAAATCATGTTTAATTGGGACTTCTCTGTGCATGCTCTTTGAGGTGGGCCCCATAAATCTCCATTACACGACTGACAGACAAGAACGGTTTGACCTAAAAATGTCAAAATTGAAAATACTCTGGAAACAAAGACACCATCTTGGATGCCCTTGAGGTAAGATAAAACATATCAAAAATTAATTTCAAAGTGAACTATCCCTTTGAACCGTGATTAATTTTTCAGGATTCGTTGAAAGTTCAAGAGAAAAGCAATTAATTAAAATATATATATGAAGAGTTCAGATGCAAAAGCCTCTAAATGCCATTTGAAATTTTCTTCTTTAATGATGATTTTTATCAAACTTGTATATTTAAGTTCAGTAATTTCACGTTATTTAAGTGAAATTACTGAACTTAAATATACAAGCTTGATAAAAATCATCATTAAAGAAGACAATTTCAAATGGCATTTAGAGGCTTTTGCATCTGAACTCTTCATATATATATATATTGCATTACTATAAATGTCTTTACTGTCACTTTTGATCAATTTAATGTGTCCTTTCTGAAGAAAAGTATTTCTATTTTATATATATAAAAAAAAAAATCATATTGACCCCAAACTTTTGAACGGTAGTGTACATTTTTATTAAATTGAGTAAAATCAAATCATAAAAGGTCAATGAATGCATACCAGAAGTGATAGCAGCTAAAGAAAAATCCTCCACCAAATTGCCATTAATCATATGGATCCTTGGTGAGTCTGGAAGGGGAAACAAGAAATGATTCAATGAAAAGCTCTAAAAAAGCCCTAAAAAAGCAGGATTTTTTTTTCATTCCATAAACAATCTTAAAATGTATTTAATACTACAAACGTTTGCCATTATAACACATTCACACAACATGAACAGAGTACTGTCATCTTTGAGACTGTTAGTTATTACATGATTAAAATGTAAACGCATATTTAAAGCATGGCAATCCCATCAGAAAAATGTGTATCATAGAAAGGGAAGCACACAAAAAAGCCAACTGGTACATCAAAATCAAGCCATAATATAATGTTACCTGCAGCCTTTATCCTGTTATGACATGTCTGAGGGTCTTTCCCTTAATGTTTTCCAGTGAATTAAAGACAGGACTGATGAAGGTAGGTGACATGACCTTTCACTGCGGCAAGTCAGAGGAAGAAAGACAAAAGTACAAAAAGTTACTCAGACTTTCTATCAGTAAATGTCTTTCTTTGATGATGAGAATCATACTTTATACTTTATATTAATCCCAGTGTAGGTTTTCGAAAGAGTGTGTAAAATTGACAAGAAACAAAACAAAAACTTACTGTAGTTGGTGGATTTGTCTCTATTTGGGTGTTCTCCCCCCGAAAAAATCATATTCCAATGCTTAACCTAAAACAAATATAAACAAATATAATCATTGGCAGTTATCAGTGTTCTTAGAGGTTTTGAACTTCTAACGAATAAATTACGATTTTATCACTTTATTCCGAGACTAATTACATCTCATGCATTTAAGCTAACACAAACCACCAACAACAACGCACAGCAGTGTCAGATGGTAACGTAAGATACATGAATAAACTTAATAATATCTCTAGCGCGCTTCACTGATGCAGTAGAAAAACACTCATTTGCAGGCTGCTGCATTAGGCCTATGTCCGAGGTGCTACCAGTTTGTAAAAATCTTGTCTACAGACAGTAAAAAATGAAGATAATGATCTTCATTAACGGGTGATTATCAGTTTATAGCGTTACCCACAAACTAAATTTACACTCTATTCAACAGATTTCAACAGAACAGAACAGAACGTTAATACCTTTTAAACATTTATTGATATTTGTTAACATATCTAAAGTGAAACTGTGGTAACGACATACATTAAGGACAGGAACTTAACGTTCACGTTAGACTGTTAAGAATAAAAAATGTTGTCTTACCTTTAGTGATTTCGCCAGTATTTTTACAGACCACGTAATATTACGACCCCATCCTCTGTTCACATTCCAGCTTTTGTCCTTCATTGACATATCACAACTCAAATTCGCTCAAAATAAGAATTTAACAAGAATTTTTAAAATAATCCGTGTCCGACGGGGTAATAATCAGCAGAGCAGATGCTCACCTCATACCGACTCAAACAATAACGGACGTATTTTCAAAACTTAAAAATAGGCGCGCATTTTGTCATTGGCCAGTTTCCTGGAAGACAGAAAGATTAACCAATCATGATCAAAGTAAACCGGTGAAACAACCAATAACAGTAGTTTCAGCGTGGTAACGTAGCGAAATGTGTATAGAATATTTAGTTTGCAGTCTGTATTTATTTAATTAATTTGTCAAATGGTGTTTTCATGACAGTGTATGAATTTAAAAAAAAAAATAATATAAGCATGGTAAACTGTTAGGTAAAGCACACAGTATTGTAAATCCACACAAAATCACAAAGCAAAAAGTTTCTTGCTGCACTCTTTGAGGTTGAAAATTATTGGAGAGTTGTCTATAATGATAATAATTATATTTTACATAGCCAAGGCTGTATTATCAGAATATCATTAAATGCTAATAATGATCATAAACTTTTAAGGCAGATTTCTGTTGTATGTTGGTTGAAAACATTACGTTGTTTCCAACGTACAGATCTTGTACAAATTTCAACGTTGATTTAGAAGTGTTTTCTTAACATTTTTTCAACCGTTTAGCATTAAACGGTATATCAACGTTGTTTCAATGTTGAAACAACAACTGACATTATTTCAACCATATTT